AGAGAATACAGAGCTGGAGCTAAGAAAAGCAATGCCCTTCACAATAGCAAATGTAATTTTTAATCATGGTTTCACCCTGGAAATGGTAAGCACATCTTTTAAACAGTAAAATGAAAAAATATTTAGCATTATAGCCACCATTTTTAAAATCTCATATGTGCTGTGTTGGCTAAATTACATGTGTTATATGTGCTTTTCAAAATAGGTCTGTAAAGGAAACATTGTTTACCTCTATACATGAAAAACTTAAGAAATAAACTCAAGAAAGTGAGTCAAAGGATATTAAATTCCCTGCTGGTCCCTTTTCTGCCATTATACTAATGATAAAAACCAAACAAACACAAAACCAAAACAAAGTGGAGGGAAACCTAAAATCAAAACATGTAAATCTATTGATATAAATTTGATTTCTATTTACAATGAAACTGTAGAAGAAAGTGAAACTGATCCATAAAATTGTTGCCGTTGAGTACCGTTGGATCAATTTTCTCAGGTAATTAATCAAATGGGAGGGGGCTGCCTGTTGTTTCTCCTGCAGAGCAGCTGGTGGATTCAAACTGCATTTCTTTGAGATGGCAGCACAGCTTCTTACCACTAAGACACCAGGCTCCCTAAAGAGATATAAAGTAGTCCTTGATAACTTCTTAAAGTTCCTGGTAGCAGTCAAGGCTATAGTCTATCCCGAGGCAGACTGCTACATTTTTTTCTCATGGAGTGGCTGGTAGTTTGAACTGTCTAGTTAGCCGCTTAATTCTTTAGCTACTGCCCTTCAAGGACGTCTACCTTTAACCTCTACCCTCTGCTGTTACTCAGTCAATTCTAACTCATGACAATTCTCTACCCAGGTTAAAAGTCTTGCTCTAATGAACCCTTAATTCCCATCCTTCATCTAGTCTTTTTCTTTTTTAAAGAACTTAATAAAAGTGTCTACAATTATCACATTTTATTTTTTACTGGTTTGTATTTTGTACATATACATTGTGTTTTATATAATGATTAGTATACATTACATTTTACATAATTAATTACCATTACTTTATGCCTAGCTTCCATGAAATCTTTCCCATTTTGTTACACCCCCTCCACTCAGTAATCTATACTATATCAGTGATTTTTCCCCCTTTCCCTTTTTGCTGCCTTCTTCTTTCCCTTTTGAACATTCATGCACATCCTACTCAG